AAATGCTGTTCAACAAGATGATAATGGTCTTCCCATCTTTGATGAAGTTATAGGCCGTGGTATCCCTGATGGAGTTAACACATTAGTGTATACCATAGTTAACCATTTCATAGGTACTCCAACTAACATCACCTCCAAAATACATGACCAACTTACCAATCTCACTTGTCTAACCATGAGTGATTTTAGATGGTATAAAGATGTATTCCTGTCCAGAGTTATGCTTAGAGATGATAGTAATAAACCATTTTGGAAAGAAAAATTCATTAATGGTTTACCCAATCTCTTTGCCCACAAAATTAGAGACACTCTTAGTAAAGCCATAGGTAATATTGATTATGATAACCTCACTTATGGCAATATCATTAGCTTAATCCAAAAGGAAGGATTAAGGATATGTATTGACATGAAAATAAGTAACCAATTACAAGATGATAGGAAAAGTGCTAAATATGAAATGGGAACCTTTTATGAACAATATGGTCTTCCCCCTATAGCTCCCTCAAGACAAAACCCCAAACCTCATATGAAAAGTTCCAAAGGTTTTCGAAGATATTACAGAATGAATATTATTCCCAAAAGTCTAAACCTAAGAAGAAATTTAGTAAAAAGACTTCTAGAAAAAAGGATACTACAGATGCTAAAGATGTTAGTAAAGTCAAATGTTACAAATGTGGTCGATTAGGTCACTTTGCAAAAGATTGTTATGCAAAAAAGAAGATCAATCAGTTACAAATTCCTGAGGAAATTAAAAACTCTATTTACGATATACTCCAGCTAAGAGATACTGAGGATAGTAGTAGTGACCCTGAAGTTAGTTCTTCCTCACAGTCATCTGATACTTTCCCCAGCTCTCCTAATATTACATTAGGATGTAAAGATAGTTGCTGTAATCCTACTAAGTCACTTAATGTTCTCACAAAAAATGATGAACAAGAACATCTACTTATTGATCTAATCAGTAAAGTAGATGACCCTGAGTTAAAAACCTTATATCTTAAAAAACTTAAGGTACTATTAGACAACTCAGAACCTGAACCCCCAACCGTTAGTAAACCCAATTTTAGTCCATATAAAACTTTAGAAAGATTTAATAATAAGCCTAAAGAAGTCACTATTCAAGACCTCCAAACAGAGATTAACATGATAAAAACTGAAATTAAAAACCTTAAGTTAGAAAACCAAGTCATGAAAAATGATATTCAGGAATTAAACACAAATCCTGCCTTTTCCTTTAAGGGAAAAGAATCATTTGATGAAGAAGCCTCTAAACATTCCGAAAATTCAGAATCTTTTAAAAAACTCCAAACTTTAAACCATATCTCTTTTCAGAAATGGTATGCTAAAGTTACCCTCATCATCAACAAAGATTTCAAACTTGAAGTCGTTGCTTTGATCGATACAGGAGCTGATCTTAATCGGATTCAGGAAGGTTTCATACCCACTAAATACCATGAGAAAACCTCTGAAAGGCTAAGCTCAGCCAATGGAAATAAAATGGACATAAAATACAAGCTATCTAAAGCTCATATATGCCAAAACAACGTATGTTTTAAGACATCATTTGTCTTGGTAAAAAATATGACTGATAAGTTAATCTTAGGAGTTCCATTTATCTACCTCCTTTATCCCTTTACTACTAACAATGAAGGACTAGTCACTAAACCCTTCGGTCAAGAGGTTCAATTTAAATTCCTGAGTCCTCCTTCTCGAAAAGAATTAAAATCAGTCATAAATTCTTGGTGCGACCGAGCGTGTGCACAAAATAATGCACAACACTTTAGGTTTAGAAATAATGTCAAGTGGACACCATATTTTAAAATTTATAAAACCACTAAACACTTATACTATGGAGTATGAAGTGAGCAGGGATCATCCCAAGAGATCTAAATAATTATAGATTTTCCATAATTGAATTCTACTTTAGTGCTTATGTGATTATTAAAAAGGTTTGGTTTTGTGATTAGACTAATTTTAAGCTAAATGATTTCAATAAAATAAATAGTGTAATACCCTGTATTTTTAAAGAGTTTATTTAAATTAATTCTATATATTTAATGAGTAGATTTATTCACCTATAAATTGTGTATGTTAAATTATTAAATTAATTTTATTTATTTGTGCACGTAATATTGATTTTTATGTTCTATATATAATATAATGTTAGTTTAGAAATTTTATTGGTTATGTTTTATATTAATTAATATTAGTTAATTAAAGTATTACATTTGTATTATAGTGTAATAATAATAATAATAATAAAACTATGTCATGATGTAACTTTGAGAGTAGGATAGAATCTCATTTATTGTGGTGGAATTTTATGTCAATTATTTGACTTAAATTGCATAGCCTTAAGTTAGTTTAGGTGCGAATGTTGATAGTTAATATTTAGGTTAGATATATATATTATATAAGTTAGTGTATATATATTAGTTAGTTAGTATTCCTTTGAGGGAACTCACGTAATAAAAGAAGAAAGAAAAATATAGCAGTGAACTATTCTAGAAGAGTGAAAGGAAAAGAGAGAGAGAGAAGCTTGGACCGGTGTAGGTGATTTTACCCGACTACGCGCAACCGGCGGATTTGTTTCAAATCCATAAGGCAAGTTATTATCTACTTTTCCCCTTTGAATTCATAAATTAATTATTTAATTTATTTAGGTTATTTTGGAGTATCAAAACCATGCTAGGAATTTTAATAAATTAATTGTTAGTTTATTAAATTAATGAAATTTTAATTATTAGGCTATTAGATATTTATTTATTTGTCTATGTAATTAAAATATAGCTAAAAATAATTATTTAAGGCTTTAAGGATTTTTTTAGAATTTTCTGGAATTTTCCGGGATTTTTCTGAAATTTCCGGCAAGACTCCGGCGATATTTCTGGCCACCGGCAGTGAGGAAGGTGACCGGAGTAATCCGGTGTGATGTGGCGCATTGTAGTTAGTGTGCGCACGGATCAGCGGCCATTGGATTAGTTTTGGGTCAACAGATTGATCCAATGTAGTGCATCTATAGGAGTATGTTACAACAGACCAATCAGAACACGCCGCGTCAGCAAGGACTTAGAGCGCGCGCGTGGCTGATGCCAAATGCGCGTGGGGGCGCGTGTGAGGAAGGTGGCGGCTCGTGTGGGAAGCTCTGGGAGGCGCGTGAGGGGGCGTGTGGGGTCTCTACAGCTGCTGGAAAAGTCCATAATACCCATAGGGACTGTTTTGTAATTTCCAGAGCCTTAAACTTTCAATTTTGGGCCTCGGGTTGATATTTTCGGGATTTACGGGACATTAAATTGTTATTTTATTACCCGTTAATTATTATTATGTCTGATTAATAGTTTTAAACATTAATTATATCATTTACAGCTTGGATCGCTATGGTTTAGATGTAATTAATGTAATGGCATATTTGAATAATAATTGTGTTGTTATTTAATGTTAAATGAAATGATTACATAATTTGATTCATATAAATTGTCCGTTATATATTACAGGATTATTTATGTTGTTTATGATATATAAATCATTACTATTATGCTATGTACATTTCAGGTAATAAATGGACTGCTAAATAAATTATGTCACATTTATATTATATGGATGTGTTGCCATATAGAACCATATGAGCTGATTATTAAGTTGAGACTCATTTATACCTTATGCATTCGTTACCATAGACAGATGTGTGGCTGTCGGGGTATGTGGTTTAATATTATTGGCATGTGTTGCCTAAGTGATATGCTCAGTATATTCATTAGTACCTTGAGATGTGTTACCACTGTGTAGGACTCATAGTCTGTATTGTCAGTACCATGCACCATGTATTAATAGCTGGTTTCCCAGGTAGGGAAATGAGACACTTAACCACCTCGTGTGAGTCTAAGTGATCACCGTCTATTCTGGTTGAGGTCATATTATACATTGTGTAGTTTCATTAGGGTGTATACAGGTATAGTATACTTCCAATTATTAATGATTAATTTATTTGATTCTCTGATTTGGGTCATAGTAGAGAGGACTTGCTCGTGGGGTTGACCCACCATTGTTGTTATTTTAGGACACAGTCAGTACCCGTTTCAAGGTTGAGGCTTAGCAGTGTGGGACCACCATCCGAACTTATCTACTCTTACGGTCTTATCCAGGGTAGAAGTTTTATGTATTATTTTAGTTTCAGTTTTATTTACTTCCGACGTTGAACTTTCAAGTTTGTATTTAGGGATCCTTGACATAGGATTTCAAAGTTATATAACGGAGTATTGTATTTCATAAAGGATGGATGGATGTTTTATCATTTAGTTTTCCTTTCCTATCTAAGTTCTTCTATTATTATCATTTTGTATTCCATGCTTGTATATTACCAATTATTTTTGATATCCCTCATTTTTCGTGTATAAGCCTGATCAATTTATGCGTGGAAAATGTGGGGGTATCACAAATAGAGTTTAAGAGATTGGGAAGAGACTTAGGGTGTACGATTCACTACTAAGCATATTCCCTAACTCACTAACTTTCAACTAATTGGGGAAATAAATGTATAATCTAAATGTGGCTAACAATTGCAATGAAAAGTATGAAACATCAATTTAAAGCTTGAATCATTTACCTAATGACAATTAACTAAATGTAAATCAATTCACCAATTCAAAGCATGGTCCATCAATTCAGTTAGCAATTTCAACTCACATTAATCTAGAGGATAATGTAAATTGTGGCAACAAGCATGGAAATCAAACACAAGCATGGATTGTCTACTTACCTAAGAATGAAAGTGCAATTAAACTAATTAAGCCTGAAATTGACTAAATTCAACAAGAATTTAAGCTAATTAAATTAACTATGTAGTACAACCCATCTAGTAGAAGAAAATTCCATCAAATTAAAACACAATTACATTTACTTAACACAATGCATAGCCATCACAAGATTCAATTCACAAAGAAATCAAGTGTAGAGATTAATTATCAATCAAAAACATATAAGACAATATGAAATTGACATAGATAATCAAATGAAAGAATTAATTTATATTTCAAGGCTATACAAAAATTACACAAATAAATTCCCAAAAAGTGAAAAGAGAGAGAGATTAGGTTACATGCTTAGGGTTTATCCAACCCTAAGTAGAAGATTTAGCCGCTTATAGTTGATGGATTCAAGGTGTCAATAAGTTCCATCATCTGCTTCATCATCTCTAAGCTTCTTCTCAAAACCCTAGCTTGTTCTTGCTTTTTCTCCTCTTTCGATTGTTTTTCCAGAGAGAACGTGATATCGGTACAGAATTTAAAACTTAATAAAAAATAATAATCTCCACCTCAATAAAATAAAAACTAACTCTAAACTAAAGGCTCACTGGGCCATAAATAATAACCCCATTAAAGCCCAATAGTTCATAAAATAAGCCCAAACAATAAGAAAATCCTATAATGTTGCCAAGTCCTGGAGGATCGATCCCCCACCCTGGGGGATTGATCCCCCAAGAGTTGGAAATTTCCTTTAAGCCCTATTTAGCTCCATTTTGGCCCCGAGCTCATTGGTTTGCTTCTTCATCTTTGGGAACATCATCAAAGGCCTGAGATTGACCGTTTTTGAAGAATAAACACACTATACAAGCAATGGGCTGTGACCTCTTTTTTGCCATTTTTTTTTTTTTTTTGAATATCTTTGCTTGACTCCAAAAAGGCTTTAGTGAATCAAAATTAGCTCATTTTAACTTTATTACCCTGAAATACACATAAACATAAATTAAGACTAAAACATGAAATTAAGATAGATGCAAAGACTAAAATACCCTAACTTAGGTGCTGAAATGTGCAACATTTAAGCACTTATCAATTCTTCAGTAACAAAATCAATAAATTTATTGCAGAGCAAGACTCAACAATTGAATTTCTTAAAAGAAGAAATCAATTATAAACGCATTGATGATCAGTTAACTGATCCAGTGCTCTAACAAAAAATTCAAGATTTCGGACAACAAATAAAAAATCAGGTTTGTTCTGATCTACCAACTGCCTTCTGGCATAGAAAAAGACATTCAGTTAAGTTACCTTATATCAAAGGCTTTAGGAGAAGACACATTCCTACTAAAGCAAGACCAATTCAGATGAGTCCAGAAGTCAAGGAATTTTGTAAAAAAGAAATTAATGATCTTTTACATAAGAAGATTATTAGAAAAAGTAAGTCACCCTGGTCCTGCCCAGCTTTCTATGTTCAGAAAAACTCTGAAATAGATTGAGGAGTTCTTCGTTTAGTCATAAACTACAAACCACTCAATAAGGTTTTAAAATGGATTAGGTACCCTATCCCTAATAAGAAAGACCTTATTAGCCGCCTTAGTCAAGCAGTCATCTTTTCAAAATTTGATATGAAATCAGGATTTTGGCAAATCCGTTTAAGGAAAAAGGATAGGTATAAAACTGCTTTCACCACCCCCTTTGGTCATTATGAGTGGAAAATTATGCCATTTGGATTGAAAAATGCCCCTAGTGAATTCCAGAATATCATGAATGACATCTTCAAGCCTTACAGTCATTTATCTATTGTCTATATTGATGATATCCTCCTATTTTCAAAGTCACTTGATGGGCATTGGAAACATTTAAAAACATTTCTTACTGTCATCCAGAAAAATGGTCTTGTAGTCTCTACTTCTAAAATCAAGTTATTTCAAACAAAAATCTGTTTTCTTGGTTATCATATTCACCAAGAACAAATTCGTCCTATTGATCGCTCAATCCAATTTGCTGAAAAATTTCCAGATGAAATCCTTGATAAGTCACAACTCCGGAGGTTCTTAGGATCCCTTAATTATATTGCTGATTTTTACAAAGATCTTCGCAAGCAATGTAAACCACTATTTGAGCGCCTTCAAAGTAATCCTCCTTCATGAACTTCTGTTCATACTAGCATAGTCAAATCTATCAAACAGTATGTTAAGACATTGCCTTGTCGTGGCATTCCTACTACTGATTCTTTTAAAATCATTGAAACCGATGCCTCTGACATTGGTTATGGTGGCATCCTCAAACAACGAGTCAGTCCAAATGCACTTGAACAATTAGTTCGATTCCATTCTGGTGTTTGGACGAAAGCACAGAATAATTATAGTACTATTAATAAATAAATTTTATCTATTGTTTTGTGTATTAGTAAGTTTTAAGATGATATTTTAAATCAAAAGTTTTTAGTCAGAGTTGATTGTCAAAGTGCAAAATATGTTCTAGAAAAAAATGTTCAAAATATTGCTTCTAAACAAATTTTTGCCCAGTGGCAAGCTATATTAAGTATATTTGATTTTGATATAGAATATATCAAAGGTAGTAACAATTCCATTCCAGATTTTCTTACAAGAGAATTCTTGCAGAAATCGAATGGCAGACCGACAGCCTCCCTTGAGGCCCCAACTGGTTAAACCTTTTGATATTTGCTCAGACAAAGCTCCAGTTACCAGATCCCAGTCACAATCCTCTTCAACATTAGCAGTTACCAACAGATTCCAACCTCTTGCTTCCCCATCAACTTTCAAGTCAGCCCTAGTTAATCTTACACCAAATCCTTTTTAAGTCCAACCCCAAATTCACACACAGTCCCAGATCCAACAATTCACTGCTAAAAAACCACCAAGTCCATATATTGAAAAACCCCCTACTTCTTTGTTTTTCATTGAGCCACACCTTAGTCACCCCACTTGAATTGGCCTGCTCCTATTTTCCAAGTAACCTTCACTATGCCCCAGGCCATCCTTCTAAAACTCTTAGGTTTTACAGAGATATCCTGTACCATACTGAATCTATTATAGTCAAGACAACTTATGATAAGAATGATTCTTCCAAAGTTATTTACCATTCCCTGTACATCCGACGGATAATCTCCATGAATGAATGGGGCAGTCACCCTTACTTACCGCAACCATTACCTGATCATAATATACAGTTTACGTATTATGATTATATGACAGCCTGGTTATCCATTCTCTTATACCAAAATGAGTCATTTACTCATTCATGGTTTATCAACTTTGATAGTCATTTCAAAAGTCAAATCCCTACCTGGTTTATGAGATAGTGGACTCTTCATGGTGCTATTCCAGAAATCCTCTCCCTCTCCTTTGCAGATCAAGTCAAATACTTTTACATAGTTCACAAAGTTAATAAACATAGTTCCCAATTTCCAGTCCTCTTGTTATTTTGTAGTAAATACAAAGTCCCATGGATATTTAAATGGCAATATGATATCCAAGACAACATAGTCATCCGTCGCCACTATGCTAAATGGTGGGATACTTTCAAATTTGACAGGATTATTGGGTATGTTGAAAATGATTATTCCGAACAATCCTCAAACCAAGTTACTTCACAGACACAGGTCACTCCTCCAACACAGCAAGTCATTCAATAGAAACAGCTTTCCCCTACTAGTTCTAATGTTTCCACCAAGTCATGGAAACATGCTCCCAAATCAGAAATAGAAGAACTCAAAAAAATGGCAGCCTCACTGACTGATCGCATCCAAGATCTGTCTAAAGATGAAGAAGAAGTAGCTGATGCTTCCTCTGCTACTGAATCAAGTCACCCAGTAGTCAATTTATATGACGACTCTGTGTTCCAAGATAATTAGAATCCATACCAAGATCCATTCAATTGAAAATTGATATGGAAGAAAAAGTCACTATTTGGTCAAAGTTACTATTTGCTACAGTAAAAGTCAAGAATACTACGTAACCAGTCAAAGTCACTATTTCTACAGTAACTGTTGGCAGAATCACTGTTTCTACAGTACCCCCGACAAGATACTATTCATCCACAGTGAAAGTTACTATTCATCTACAGTAAAAGCTGTCAAAAGCAAAAGTCACTTTTCAAAAAGCCAAGATTCGCGCTGAAGCATCCTCCAACAGTGCAGGAGCCCGGTTATAAAAGCAGTGCTCAGTTCCTTTGCAATTCAAGCTTTATTTGAGAGATTTCAGGCTTCATAACATTTTCTCAGTTTCAAATTGTAATCTTCAGTTCAGTTTTATTTATCTTTTCTGAGTGTAATTCTATATCAGTATGCTGTATTTGTTAGACTACTATCAGTAATTTGTAAGTTACTTTCAGCCATTCTCAGTTATATTAATATAAGTTTAATTTCAGTTACATTTACTTTCGTTTATTATATATTATATATCTTGGTCGGTTATACACCGCCTTATTTATTTTAATAGCTTTATCTGTACTTATTTTAATAGCACATATATATATATATATATATAATCTTACTGGGTAGTTAGTGGATGGAGCCCACTTCATTCCTTGCAGGAATCTTCTTTTGATTATGGAACCCAGCCTTTGCCAGCCATTTGATCAAAGGCATGCAAATAATCAAATGCAAAATTCTATCTACATGCAAATTTTAAATTTTTTTTATTTTTTTAAATTTTTTATAAATTTTTATAAATTTTTTTTATTTTTAAATTATTTTTTTCAGAAGGTTTTAAATTTTTTTAATTATTTAAATTTATTTTTAATTATTATATTTAACTATTATTTAATTTTTTAAAATTATTTTTAATTATTTATTTTTTTTAGAAGAAATTTTTAGAGAGAGAAACTTAGAGAGAGGGAACTGATGAGAGACAAATTTAGAGAGAGAGAGGATTGTGAGTGAGAGAATTTTAGAAAGAGAAATGAGTTGAGTGTAATATGGAATAGATTTGTATTGTGTGTTTATTATGTAATGGGTGAAATAAACCATATTCAATCTATCTTGACCTTGAAATTAAGTGGTTAAAAATTACTCAACCCATCTTGACCCGTGAACCATTTTACCACCTAAGAAATTTTCAAGCACAACTTATCCCTTTTCCAGCGCATCCGTACACCCAATAAGGTTGAACAGGGTTTTTCAAATTTTTGATGGGGTAAGAAGCCTACATTGCAATCCACACTTGCCAGCGAATGCATCGACTGCATTACGTTCCATCCTCATGTATCCATTCTTTTTACCGAATCAAAAATCAAAGATTTGGGGCTATTTTTTTTTTTTTTTTTTTTTTTTTTTTACCGAATTTCACAAACCCAATGTCAAAAATCAAAGATTTGGAGCTCCCAATGTTAAAAATCAAAGATTTGGAGGCTTGGAGCTCTTATCTTACCCAATTTCAGAAACCCTAGTTCTCCATCCCACGGACATTACAATACAAATACAAGATTACCAATGTTAGGAGGAAAAGGGGGGAAATTTATGGTCTCCCACATTCTGTGAATTGGGTGGACAATCCCAATTGATTCAATACATTTCAGCTTAATTACATGAACAAGTAACAATAATTCACAAAAACCAATTGCAATTGATGAGTTTTAAGGGTAGTGATCTTCGGAGTCCATTCCGCCATCGGAGATGATGAACTTGAAGGCGTAGTCCATGAGGCCTCCATTGCAACCATTGTAGTATGATTTATCAGTCGACCAGTTCTTGATCCGAGAGAGTGATGAGATCGCCGGTGGCGATCTGGTTTACGCCTTCCACGGCCGCCACCGTCGAGAAGACCCACCAACTCCCTGGTCTATGTCCAATGGGCCGCTTGTAGGGGCATAGTGGTCATTTTATTTATTTATTATTTTTTTTTGTAGCCCTTGCATTGTGGCCTTGTCAACACCCACAATAAATAAAAAATAAAAAAACCAAGATGTGTGTGTGTGTGTGTTTTTTTTTTTCAAAAGGTGGAAGGTACTTATGAACAGAATTGTGCATATGGGCCGTTTGTAGGGGCATAGTGGGCTGGTGATGAAATTTGAACCAAGATTGGTCCAAAGTAGAAGGACTAAGCACAACAGGCCCATGGGCCTTGGATTTAATATACCCCAATATAAAAGGTCTACCAAAATTTTCTTAAAGAGACCCTTGACCAATTGATGGACATATCAACCAGAAGTCCAAAATCTACCATTCTTCACACAACAGTTCACCACCAACACACCCAATCTCCACTCTCCATTTTTTAACAAACAAAAAACAGTATACAATATAAATATATATATAACATATATGTGTATATTCATGTATAATAAGGTATACATTCAAATGTTATCAAAATAGTTTTAGAAAATTGTCAACCAAACAAATTTAATAATTTTCGAACACGTATATCAAACTATAATAAAACAAAAATTATATAGAGAGAGTTCTACCACAACTTCCTTGATCTTTGACGGGAGCAACAGCACCTTTCTCCCTCCAACCGACCCGAACCGCGTAACGCCAGCCGACGCTCTTGGACTTCAAGAACCGGCGCTTAGCGTCAGTCTTCGTGCCCAAATAGATGGACCGGTACTCTTCATATATTGGTCAGATCAGCAAACCGGTTCAAACCCACCTTGTAGGTCCGGTTCTCCGAGTTATGTTCGTCAACAAACCTCAAATTATCCTTAAAAATCTCGAACCTCTTTCCGTGCTCTCCCAACCCATTGTACACCTTAACATGCTCAGCCAACCACCATTCATACATAGCCATCACCTCCCCTTCATTCCCACCCGAGGAATTCTCGATTCTGTTCTCATGATGTTCAATGATCGAAGGGTCTGTTGCAGACGATAACGAAGCAAATAAGAGGAAAAGGATGGTGGTTATAGAAACAGACATCATTGAAAATGAATTGGAACAGAAAAAACTCATAAAATGGTCCGTGTGCGTTTTGGTTTATAGAGAAAGAGCAGAGAGAGCAATTGGGCGACAAATAGTTAAAAAATTCATGGGGGTGTGTGTTTTTTTTTTGCATTTAATATGATTCAATGAATGGAGTATGGGGAACTGAGAGAGAGAGAGAGAGAGAGAGGTGGAGAGAGGAGAGAGAGCAATTGGGCTTTAGAAACTTGAAACCCGCTATCCATGTGCGCACATGCATCCTCTCTGCAATCCAAAGAGAGATCCTCCCAAAGCCCAAGGGCGCATGCCCCATGCGAAATTATGCAATATTGATTCAATAATAATGTAACAATCATATATATTATACATTGTTCTCGAAATAGTTGTCTGCTTTAAAATTATAACAAATAAGCAAAAGTGCAAAGCCCCTGAACTATTAGAAATCGACAATTTACGTTCTTTGGATTAAAAAAATGAACTATTAAGTCAGTACCACAACTATTCAAATCGTTTAAATTAACCACTGAAACGCAATTCCGGCCACTTTCCGGCCCACCTCATTGTAGATTTACAAAACTACCCATCGTAATTAAGAAAATAAAAATACGAAAATAAATAATAAGAGTGAAATACCGTGAATGCCCTTCATGGATATACACTTAGTTTTCCCAAACGTTGCCTAAGTGTTGAAGTTGTAACCCTGTCTATTCAGTGCTTAGAGAAGAGAAGAGAAGATGCAAGGTCGCGAATCTAGGGATTCTAAGTGCGATGAAGACTGAGGGTCTTTGAACTACGATTTGAAAGAGTTATTTTGTGGTTTTGGAGTTTTGTATTGAAGATTGAAAAAATTTGAACTCTCAGAATCGATCATGCAAGAAAGATGGTTGAATCGTAAGTGTGCTTACTATTCCAAAGGTTGATTTTAGTTTCAAAATCGCTTCTTTATGTATTATTTTCATGTTATTTTGATGTTATTGTTTGTTAGGGTTACTGAATACTAAGTGTCACTAAATTTCTAGGGTTTCTGACATTTTTTCTATAAAGGGTTTGTAGTAGATATTTTTGCATTCGTATGAGCTTTGTTTTATATTGTGATTGTTAATTGGTAGGGTTTTCGAAATCTTGATTTCAACCTTTTATAATGCATGAATATATATATATATTTTTTGGTACTGTCAGCACAATAATTGGATTTTTTTGGTACTGCCTTTATGTTTCTTAAAGTGTATTGACCCCACTGTGTGTCATTGTGGTGTGCTTTTGGGGTTTGGTTCTTACTTTCTGTCCATGTGTTGTAGTTATTGTGATTGTCTTGTATTTGTCATCTATATAGTTTATTGCATAAGTAGGCCATTGCTTTCTGTTTTGTTAATTTTAATTGCAATGCTAATTAATTAATTTTATTTTTTGTTAACAGATCATGTTTAGGTTAGTTAGTTTGGAGGTACACCATGGAGGATCTTTTAAGGGCACACCTCTTAATCATACATGTGGCACTGTAACTTTGATTCATAATATAGATCTGGATTACTTAAATTCTTTTGATCTGAATCGTGTGGTGAAGAAGCTTGGGTATGATGATATGAAGAGTGAATTATATTATAGGAATCCAATGGTGAGCAGTGATGAAGGGATTAAACAAATATTAAAGGATGAAGATGTTTTGGGCTGCATTAGTTGTCATCAGAGGTTTAGTTTAATTAAAATGTTCATCATCTCACCTAATATTGAAGTAGTTGATGGGGAGGGGGATGGATCAGAGCATGCTGAGTGGGAAGATGAAATCCTAGAATGGGCTACTGAGGTGGCAAATGGTAATGTTAAGTTGTTAATAAACAATGGTGATGGGGAAAAAGGTTTAATTGATGCTGAGATAGAAGATGGTGAGATAGAGCATGGGTATGATGCTGAAATAGAAGATACTGAGATAAAGTATGGGTATGATGTTGAGATGGGAAGTGCGGAGATGGAAGCTGCTGACATGGGACATCAATTTGCTGAGGTGGAGGCTACTGTTGCTAAGATGAAAGATGAAATGGCACATGAAGATGGTGAGGTAGAGCCTACTGTTGCTGAGAACAATGAATATGCCAATTCTGGGGTGGATCTTGATGACCTTGATCTGCATGAGAGGGAATACAATTTTTCTAACATTGAATCAGCATATGCTCCAAGTGATGAGTTTCAAAGTTTAAAGGGCTCATCTGAAGATGAAGATGAGGAAGAGAATAATGATGGAGGCCGGCAGAATCCAAGGGTTACTGGCTTTGAAGTGGGAAAAAATATATGAATCAGCAGAAAAGTTCAGAGTGGACTTGAGGGCTCATGCTATCAGTGAGAAGTCTGACATTAGATTTGTGAAGAATGAACGAGAAAGAGTTACTGCCAAATGTGCTTCTGATTGTGGGTGGATGATACACGCATCAATCAACACTGAAGATAGCAGTTTTGAGATAAAGACATTCAAATCAACTCATCATTGCTCTTATACTAAAATTAACAAGCAAGCATCATCTTCTTTCTTAGCAAAAAAATACATGGAGACCTTGAGGGATGAACCTGCATGGAAGGCTGGTGCAATAAAGAAGGCTGTTTTAAGGGATTTGGATGTGATTGTTTCTAGCTCCAAGGTTTATAGAGCAAAGAAGAAGGCAATCTCACACATTGAGGGGAACCATGGGTCATAATTCAAAAGAGCTAGAGACTACTGCCATCTAGTTCAATCTACAAACCCTGGTAGTATTACAGTCACCACTATTGACAGACCAACACTTGAAGACCCTACAAGATTTGAAGGGTTATTTATTTGTTTTGAAGTAATGAGTAAAGGTTTTTTAGAAGGGTGCAGGCCATTCATTGGAGTGGATGGATGTTTTTTGAAGGGTCCTTACAAAGGCCAACTTTTAAGTGCGCTTGGGAGGGATGGAGACAGTGGGATTTTTCCTATTGCTTTTGCTGTGGTAAGATCTAAAACAAAGCAGTCATGGAAGTGGTTTATGGAACAACTAGAGAAGGCTTTGGGTTCATTACATTGGTTTACATTTATGTCTGACATACAGAAGGTAATAATTTAATTTAAATTTAATTTATGTTTTTTAATATATGTTTGTTTGCATGTTCATTTAATTAATGTTTATATGTTTCCTTCTTTGATAGGGATTAGTTGACACTTTTGAAGACATGTTGCATGGTTGTCATCATAGATATTATGTAAAACACATGTATGAAAATTTCAAGAAGAACTTTTAAGGCTGTGAAGTTGAGAAATGAGATGTGGAATGCATCACGTGCACTTACTGAGAGTGTATTTAAGTATCACATGCAGATTATAAAGGACACTGATAAGGGAGCCTATGAGTGGCTTGCAAATGTGCCTCCTAGGTTATGGTTAAGGCATAAATTTGAGGATAATTCAAAGTGTGATTTAGTTGTCAACAATCTCGCTGAGACATGGAATGACAACATTGGTGATGTTAGGGATAAACCACTCATTACTATGTTGGAGTGGATTCGTAGTTATTTGATGCATCGCAATCAGTCCAGAAGGCAGTGGATTCAGAATCAGACTGGGTTGTTGTGCCCTACCATAGCAACTGACTTGAAGAACCTAATGGATGACTGCAGACATTGTACTACCAGAAAGACAGGTGATGATATTTTTGAGGTTTACTATAAAGGTGCTAATAAGGGTGTTAACTTAGCAAATAGAACATGTAACTGTCGAGAATGGGATGTGAAAGGATCAATACCACGCATTCATGCCATTGCATGTATAATATCTGAAAGGGGGCTGCCTGAGAATTATGTGGATAGTTGTTATCATATGGAGAGTTATTTCAGGACATATAACCATATTATATACCCTATGCCCCTTAGGAACTTGCAACGAGAAGTTGGCACTGATCCTATACACCCACCTATTGTTAAGCCTGTAACTGGTAGGCCTAAAAAGGTAAGAAAAAAGACAATGGGTGAGGTCAGTAAACTTGGTGTTGCTAGCAGAAAAAAAAGCATCTAAGGTGTGGAAGATGTAGGGAGATATCCCACAACGCTAGGACTTGCAAGGCAACTGAGACAATACCTAAGAAAAAAGGTCAAATAAAAAGTAAAGGAGATAGACCTCGTCTGCCTGTTGTTTCTGGTGTATTGCCAGACTATATAGATATACAAAATGAAGCTGATGCAAGAGGAAGAAGAGCTGGAGGTAATGAAGCTGATGCAAGAGGAAAAGGAGTTGGAGGTAATGAAGCTGATACAAGAGGAAGATGAGCTGGAGGTGGTGCAAAAGGAAGTAAAGCTGGAGGTGGTACAAGAGGAAGAGGGGCTGGAAGGGTTATAACTGCCACTGAAAGGCAACTACAGGAGGTATATTATTTAAATTACTGTATGTTCTTATAGTTTATTATGATTTCACCATTGTAGTAATATTTATCTTTTTTTTACTTAGGTCATTACAATACCATCAAGGTATGGGACTATGTTGAACAATTTGAGGAGTAGCCAAGCATCATCATCATCAGTTGACTTGAATGTCTTGTGGAGTAGTCAGCGTCATTATCATTAGGAAGGTATATATATTTAAATTGATTTCCATAGTAGTGAAGTTCATTATCTCACTATAATTCCAATGTTGTTAATCTTTTCTTATGGCAGACCCACTACAATGGATCCAAGACTTTAGGCACCATTAGGATTAGAGTATATAGCTCATGTTTTGGTATGTTTTGGCAGATGACATCATACAACTTTTGGTAGATGGCAACATACAGCTTTTAATCCCAATGTTGTGTTTTTGCTGTGCTTTGGTAGATGGCAGCACACAACTTTTGTTGTGTTTTGTTTTTTTCTATGTTTTGGTATGCTTTGTTAGCTATAGATGGCAGCACACACCTTTTGTATTTTCGTATGGTTTATGTCTCTGATGGTACAATGGTTTATGTCTGTGATGGTACAATGGTTGATGTCTGTAATGGTACAATGGTTTATATTGCTTATGCTATAATGGTTTATTAATTATAACAGGTTTATGCAATTGTGTTCTTTTATTACAGGTGTGTGGCTTTTATTATTCTTATAAACTTGGTGCAGTTGTGTTCTATTATTGCACTTGTGTTACAGTGAGAACTTTATAATGTTGCTATGTTGGTGCAGTGAGAACTTTATTATGTTGCTTGGTTGGTGTAGTAATTGACAATGTGCATATATATTTTGTCTGTTTATTAAACTATCCTACTGTTAGCAATGTGCACATGTTGAAAAAATAATAATAACTTCCAATTATATTTATTACATTACATTATATTAACTAACCACACAATTAACCACATAATACCACATGATACAAATCTTAACATGAAAACATTGAAATTTGTAATTATAGTGTTTCTAGTTATTCTACGTGCTACAGGATGTTTTACTTCCAAGTTCATATCCAAGTTTCTCATCGCAGCATTTGCTCTCAAACATGATATTGTCCTTATAGCTACCTCTCTTTCTATCCTACTCCAATTAAGTTATCTTTCAGCTTCATTATGTTGGGGATCTATTGATGAGCGCTGAAAAGTGCGTAATTAAACCCCTTAAACTTAGGCATTCTAGTACCTTTATCTATCTTACTTTATCATTTTAGATTGATTTCGTATTATTTCCATTTTCAGACACTTATCCTGAAAATAAGCTAACTCAGCCAAATAAGAGCTTAATTGAAGCAATTCTGGGATTAAACAAAGAAATGATCAAAGTGGAGAAAGAAGGAAGCAAATGAAGCCAAAGGTGGGAAACAACAAAGTTCGATCGATCTAACTTCAAGGTTCGATCGATCGAACAATGATCGATCTCAGTACTTCAAGATAGATCCAAGCCTTGGCCCAAAAGTAAAAAGTCCAAAGTTTGATCGATCCAACACCACCCTTCGATCGATCGAACACTTTTGTCCTTATTCAAATGATTGATCCTATCCACAGCTGTACCACCCACTAACCACTTTTGTCCTTTTCCCAACAAATAACTCCCAAAATATCTGGGATTTGTCTTTTCTCAAAAAGCTCAACCAATTCGATCGATCCAGCCTAAGTTCGATGGATTTCAGCTAGTTCGATCGATCCAAGTCCAAGGTTCGATCGATCGAACTTCCTCCAGTGCAAAAAAAGTTAAATTTCCAACTTGTGCAATCCGTCCTCTATCCAATCATTAGAGAATATTCTTTGTACGACCCCAGCTCATTTTGTGTGCCACTTTACCTACCTATAAAAGGAATATGATGCACTTTTTGAGACATAGACAATTCTAGGGTTTATTCTCTTGGGGGAGCCAATATCCTTTTCATATCATCTCTTGGAGAGCAAGCTTAGAGGAGGAGGAGGCTAGAGACACCATTGGAGACTCTTCATCAACAAGAAGCAAATCTATTCCATGGAGTTAGCCTTTGAGGGTTGGAGCAACATCACCATGAGTGGCTAGACATCCTCTTGGGGCTAGAGTTAGTCCCAATCATGCTTTCTATATCTTAATTTTGTGTATTATTGAGGGATTAGTGTTGTAACTGATGTTTTGACACTTTTATATATATAGATCTTGTTTATCCAATGATTTATGTGGTTTAATGCTTCCAATTGATCATTTCATTCTATCCATATGTCTATGTATGCTAGAATAGATGTTCATGTGCTTGTCTTTAGATTTTGTGTTATTGATGCATGTCTATGTGTATTGATGCTATAGATTTGGAGATTTTCAAAACATAGTGCTTAAAGGAATACTCTTGTGATTCTCTTGATAGTTCATACTTATTCCTTGATGGATTGTGCCTCTCTCCTAGTTTATTTTCATGCTAGTAGTGTAGATGTAGTGTAGTTGTAGTGTAGTGTTAAATGGAAGGACAATCCATGCTTGTTGTTTGATGGTCTAAGCTTTTGAATGTAAGTAGCATATGTGTCTAACCTTGTGTTGTATTTGGATTGTGAGCTTAATGAAAGGATTAATGACTTGTTTTGATTTATTGCGCCTTTCACATGTTGTTTAGACAATATATGCTTCATTGCTTAGATATATTGTGCCTTTCACATGATGTTTAGACAATACATGCTTAACTAGTCATCCTTGCTTGTTGAATCAACCAAACACACACACACACACCAATATTGCAACACACCATTTGCTCTCATTAGTCACTTGTCAATGGTATAGAAATGCATTGCTTAGTGGTGATCTCTAAACCCCAAGATCTCTCTCTCTTTTACTTACTCTTAATTGTATTCTTTTGTTATTACTTAATTTAATTTAGTTGCTCTTTAATCAACCAACCAACCAATTGTTTAATCACTCGACCTACTAACCCTAATAGCGATTCCACGACCTTGTTCGATCCTCACAATCCCTTGGGACGATCCCTACTCACCTTAGCTATATTTATAGTAAAAGGTAGTAGTGGCTTCTATAAATGTAAAACTCTTGGCCCTCGCCTTAAAATGCACACACTCTCTCAAGCTTGACGGTGGTGCGGCGACACACCACCGCAATCAGTTTTTGGCGCCGTTGCCGGGGATTGATTGATTTGATTAGGCAACGTCGAATTTGTGGAATCAATTAGGATTAGTACTCTTTTGATCGTGTCTTTACTTTTTTTATTTTTTATTTTTAGTTACTTATTGTGTTGTTCTTACTTAACTAGGTGCATTGTTGGAGAGGAAGCAAGCAAATGAGCATTCAAGCAAGCAAAGGAGCATTCAAGCAAGCAAAGAAAGTAAAAATCTAAAATTTAAAAAAATTTGCTAAGCCAAGCTTTAAATTTGGAGTTGAAGTGCTAAAGGACTTTTGTGAGACTTTCTTTACTCAATCCCTTAGTTAAATCGTCGGCCCGCGTGGAGGCTTGTTTTTATTTGTTCTTGCATCATTGTTATTAAAGCATGGGAGTATGAATTAAGTGTTTGTGGAAGAAGTTTAATTGAAATTGTTGTGAAGGTATAGTGTTTGTCATTCTTTGTGCTTCTTGTGTTTTGCATTGTGTATGCATGGACGTCGTTCATTGAGACCAACTCTTGTCCCTCTTGATTTGCATCTTGAATCCATCGTTAGAAATCCTAGGGGAAGAGGAAGCTCAAATAGAACCAATCTATCAATGGAAGGCCATAATGAAGAGAATGTAGAGGACCTTGGTCACACAGACCAACAAGGTATCCTTCATCCTAATATGCACAATGAGAACATACAAGTACCATTAGGTATGCCTAGGCCATATATTCACCAACCACCACAACAATAAGGCCAAGTTCCATATGGAATGCCAAGGCCAATGTATGCTCCACAACCTCCCATCATCAATTAAGGAATTCAAAGCCAAGGTATTCATGTTGCACCTCAAGTAGCTAATCCACTTCTTACTTTAAGAGACCATTATGTGCCTAACGAGTATAATACACCTACATGTATTCAATTGTCTCCATTTAGAGCACATCATTATGAAATGAAGCCGCAAACCATTCAAATGCTTCATAACTATCAAGGACTTCTAAGTGAAGAACCTTACAAGCATTTGGATGAGTTTCTTGAAGTATGTTCCACCGTAAAATATACGGACATGCCGGAAGAGGTTTTAAGACTCAAACTTTTTCCATTCACCTTAAAAGACAAGGCAAAGTATTGGTTTAACAATCTTAGGCCTTTTTCAATCACTTCTTAGGCAAAAATGCAACAAGAGTTCCTGAAGAAGTACTATCCGGTTTCAAAGACCAATGCCATGAGAACCTCAATTCGAGAATTTTCACATGGGGATAGAGAAACGTTTCATGAGGCATGGGAACGCTTCAATGAGTTACTTAGGAAGTGTCCATACCATGACATGCCCAAATGGCAATTAGTTCAATATTTCTTTGAGAGCTTATCGGACAACTATAAGGGTATGGTTGATGCTTCCATGGGTGGCTTATACATTGACAGGCATGAGGATGACGTGTGGCGTCTTTATGAGAGCATGAATTCTTTTTATAGAACACTATCATCCAAGAATGGTAGAAATTCACAAGGTAGGAAGAGTGCTGGCTTACATCAAGTCGACCATTCAAATGAAATAGCCGCTGAAATGAAGTCTTTATCACAAAGGTTTGATCAATTTTTGATTAACCAAAACTCGACGAACCAAGTATCTTCCTTCCCTAACCATTCTCATCGTGCATCAAATGAAACATGTATAACTTGTTCTAGTGTTCTTCATTCTACTTCTCATTGTCCTCACGGACAAGTGCAAAATGAACCTAATGAACAAGTCAATGCAGCTTTTGTGAACCAAGGGAACAATCCTTATGGTACTCACTATAATCCAAGTTGGAGGAATCATCCGAATTT